GTTCAGGAAGAGATGCCTGTGGCTTACGGAGGTGTAAGCCAGAGAGAGGCGTTGGTGTGCGTATGTTGAGTGCATGATTAAGGCCGTGTTCGTGTGGCAAGCGTACTACTACCGCGCACGAGGACTGATGTTCCTGCGCATCGGGCAGATGGGCATTAGTGCAGTAGGAGTGGAGGAGGGTGTTCGGGGATACCGGACAGATTAGAGGGAGTCTGACAATGGTATTTGTGGACAATGCCAATAGACCACAGAGCTGCAATCACCGACCTGAAGAGGCTTTCACTGTGTACAGAGAAATAACATGCTCGCATCGATCCTTTGCCGGCTTCAACCACCATATACAAAATTCTTGATAGTAACACGTGATGATAGTTCTTGTAGTTACAAGTGCTCCAGACCATTAGCAAATTGCTTTACATTTTGAATCCCGGCACTATATGAATCTCGAATCTCTACGTGAACAAGTCTGGGTACCGCGCCTGTTCCGCACTAGGGTCTTCTGCGCGCAACAGCATGGCAAAAGCACCCGCGGTATTGGATGTGCGCGTACAGATGCCAATCAACGTAGCGTGGAAGAGCGATCGTTGTAGGCTGTGAAGCTAGCGCAATCGTCCAGATGTCAACGGCTATCACAGATCAGCCTGACAGCTCTAGCTAAATCACGGATACCACAGGACTCACTGCGCGTGTCCCATGTTCCCAAGCAGATGCAAAGTCCTGCGCTGATATCAACGTCCGAATCCGGTACGCTGTTTCCCCTCATCGCGGCAGTCCATTCCCAGCAGCACCGCTTCCGCCACTTCTAGAGCTCTCACTGCTCCCGTTGCCTACTCTAACACCCATCCTCGCACCCGGCTGCCTCGCCAGCGCCAGTCTAACTGGCTCTTCTCTTCCCTGTCCAACAATTCCACTACCACCAGCTGCGACCGCACTTCCGCTTCCACTCCCGCCTCCAATGCCCATGGGTCCCCGTCGCAACAGTTCTTCGAGCCCCAAGTCGCGCCATGTTGGTTCCTTCTTCGTCTGTGTTGCTCGCTGTATGCCGAATGCCGCGTGCTGGTCTGGTACAACGTCGTCCTCGTCCTCAGGGTTTACAGGTTGGAGGTGTGGGGGAACGTAAATATCTTCGGGCGTGAGTTGCGAAGAGGTGAGATTCGTGAACTGCTCGAGGAGGTCGGCGTGGTGCGACGAGTGCATGTGCAGGTAGGTTGCCGTAGAATCGCGCGTCTGCGGCCAGTTAGTCGGAATGCTGATTGCAAGGTGCGCAGATGCTCAGCTACCATTTTAGGGTATTGTGCAGTTTGATAATGCGTGCGTAGTATTGGTGTCAGGCTTTGTGGTTGTGTTGTTGTGTCATTGTGGTTGATGTTTGAGAGCGTGAACGCGGAATGACGCCGCGTTAGGACTGAATGGCGTGCTAGCTTGATGCGGATGCCATTGGGGATTAGACATCTGCTTTTTCAACCTCACTTCATCTCTTCCATATTTTCTGATCTCTGCGTCTCGCTGACTGTTGCTAGTCTCTGTATTTCCTAGAGCAGAATGTTGGGCTATGGATAGGCCGCCATATATCCCACAACCTCGTACGCCCACTGCGGATGGCTAGTGACAGCTCATTGCGCGGACCGAATCTCAACCCTTTTCAAGACCAATCACTACGAATCATGGCACGTGGAAGCCTCTTTTGCTGGACTGGCTGTGTAAGAATTCTAGTGGAGTTCCACAGGATATCGTATACCTCAAAAGGTCATTCGCCGTTAAAAGCCAGCCTCGTCGCGGGTATCGTCAACGCGTTCAAAGTCTCTCAGTGCAGAACATCACTCAAGAGACGACGAGGTGCCGGATAGCGATGGTCAATCCCACGACGCGACTTCTCGAATCAACTCGTATGATTAGTTTGCCGAGGTTCTTTAATGCTAGTCCGCTGTCTCCACAAACCCCACTGTGTATAACACGCGTCATAAATCCAGAGCAGTTTACTATTGCGGGCAGTGTAAGCTACATAGGTTCTCCTCATTTAAAGCTCCCCTCAGCAGCCTCTCATTCAAGTAAGATACCGCACCTTGCTGAACGCTTATTTCTCAACCGGAAGCCTGAGGAAGTAGAACCCTGAAGCAAACTATTCACAACCCTAAATCCATATTTTACTCATTCAGGATGACTGAGGGACGTTGCAACTGCGGAAGCATCAAGGTTTCCATTCCTGCTTTACCAGAGCAATCCGCTATCTGCTACTGGTAGGCGTCATTGTTCCAGTCTCCGCGCGTAGTCTCGGACTAACTCTCCAAGTGCCAACTGCCGGCGTGCCGGATCATGCGCTGGATCCATTATCTACATGTTCGACAAATCTGAGGTCACAGTCAATGACCCGAGCAACAATCTTAAGAATTACAAGGACAGCGACACAAAGAGTGGGAATTCGATTACCCGACAATTTTGCGGCAACTGCGGGTGGTGAGTTGCTTGTGCATATCGCATCAGGAGAGCATTGCTAACAAAACGATAGCCCCATTGCGTCTTTAGTGGGTGACGACTCGCCAAAAATGTTCTTGAAGGGTGGTCTGTTTGACAAGATTCCTGCTCCGGGCTTCAAATCATTTGAGCAGGAGGAGCCGAGCTGGCTGAAGATTGTTTAAAATGATTAAGAGGCACGTGTTGGGAAGTATCCAAGGTACAATACTACCGAATATGTGTATTGAATACATTCTGCCTCGAACCCTGCCGCCAATTCCCATTCACGTCATTCTGGATGTGCTCAGTCATGAAGTATAACATCTGATTTTGGAGAAGATAGAGTGCCGATCGTCTTTTCTCCGTTTGACCTAGGTAATGAAGAGAGGTGCAACCAAGGTGGTATTGCGTTGATCTGCCCTCGCCCCCGAGGCCGCCGTCTCTCAACACACAAGCATGGAGCCTCTCCTAAGGCGGACAATGAAGACGGCCATTGTGTCAAAGCGTCACTTCTACGCATCGCACTATCGACTCGTGCAACACGCAAGTTGTGTTGTCAGAGAGACTGCAAAGACGATGTTCTCACGTCCCACGCGCGCCATTCAACCGGCCCCGAAGCTAGCCTTCCCCACATCAACCATTCTTCCGGCTCATCGATTCATCAAATAACAGTAACAGCCCCAAACCTCACTGGCTTCCGTGCATCTCCAAGACAATCTAGATGCAGGCGCAATGCATCTGCCAAGCACCCAGCATGTTTCAGCAGCAGGGGTTTCGGAGATCCTTCCATCGTGAAACGTGGCTTCCAATTTCGCGCGAGTAATTCCTCCGACGTTGAAGATGTTGAAAGTCTGGCTTCCTCGATAGTTTCCTTTTATTCGGCATCGTCCATCATTCGAGGAGAAGGAACAATAAGATCAAGAGCTTGGAAGATGGTTACAGCAATATGGCCGCGGCGACGGCATCTACCTGCTTATGTTGCCCTCTCCACACTTCTATGCGCTTCAAATGCTAAAGCGGAATTATTCTACACAGCGCGCAGTCCGGCGATCCAAGACGGACTCATCAACAAACCTGCATCAATATGTCCGGTCGCACAGGATGGCGCCACGACTGACACATTTCCATGGACACATAATCCTACGTGTGTTGACGTCGTGATGCCAAATGAGGGAAATGAAGCCGTGGGAGCAAAGGGTCCTCAAACGTTCTGCGCGTACACTAATGCCGATTACAATAACGGTCGCGGAGTCAGCCTCGTAGTAACTCCAGAGGTCGCGGCTAGTGTTACAATGGAGACATTTGGTATGAGTATTGGTGGCATGGAGGGCGTGGTTGGTGAAAATATGGGCATGTGGGAAGTCAAATATGCGGGCGAGAAAGGAAAAGGCTTGTTTGCGAAGAAGGATATCGCTGGAATTTTCCCAGGCGAGAGTCTGATTGTGCAGACACCAGTGCTGTTTGTTGCTAGGCCGCTGGCAGAAACCGAGAACAGACCACAGCACGTGTTAAAGCAAGCAGTCGAGCAGTTGCCGGCAGAAACCAGGGAGATGGTCAAGGCGTTGGATGTCAACATAGATGGCAGCGTCGAGGACATTGTTCTGACAAACGGCGTTGGTGTAAAATGGCCGTGGGTTGATGAGCTTCCAGAGCTGTTGGCAGTCATTCCCGAGGCCGCTGTAAGTCATGACCGATAATTTGCCTGTTAGTGTTCTCTCTAACTCCAGCCCAGCGTATCAATCACGCGTGCCGGCCAAACACCTTGTGGCGCTTCGACGATTACACCCTCTCATTCGAAGTCTTCGCTCTAAGAGACATCAAGCCCGGTGAAGAGATCACACGAAGCTGTAAGTCAACACCAATTACACAATCAGCAAAGCAGTCACTAATTCTATGGCAGATGGCTACGAAAAACGTCCTCGCAGGCGCCGCGTCAAGACCCTTATGGCTAACTTTGGCTTCCAGTGCGCCTGCCCCCTATGCACCGCAGATGACGATGCAGTGATGGAATCCAACGACCGCCTCTCCGAGATCAAAGCCTTGAAATCTGTTCTTCCCACTGACGAGAAGGACTCGCCGCAGCTCCTCGGCCTCCTCCCCAAACTCATCGAGCAACTGGAACAAGAAGAACTCTTCGCTGAGCTACCACAGTATGAAGAGATTCTCGCATACACATGGAGTAGCTTCGGAATTGAAGATCGGGCGAGATACTGGGCGGAGAGGGCGCAGAAACATTGGGCTGTTGTGGCAGGCAAGGAGAGTTGGGAACAGAGGAGGTGTGGGGAGTTGGCGGAGAACGTTAGGGGACATAGTACTTGGATGACCTGGGAGGGTGATCCCTGGGAGGGCGTTGGACAGGGACATCCATGGGATGAGAAGGAGGGAGAAGGGCATGAACATGGACATGAGCATTGAGCAGGATTTGGAGCTGTTGTGAGAGAGATGAAGAAGAAGAATGGAGTATGTATATAACATTACCTACAAGTTATTCGGCGATTTTGAAACAGCCATCAGACGTAGTATACGATGATTGTCCAGCAAGCATGACCTCACTCATCGAAGAACTTTTCGTCTCCATGCGCACGATCCAGTCTCCAAACAAGCATCTCGATTTCCGTTGCGCCCCATTCCTCCTCTTCAGCAGCCTTCTTCGCACTACCGTTCAATGTCTTGATTAACTCTTCGCCAGGCAACTCTGCGAACTCGTGCATAGCGAGCCAAGTGGAAGGCTCAGGATGTGGCTCATCCGTGGTCGGTAACCCCTTTAGAGCACGAGACTGAGCATTAGTCCTCGCGTAGAGAAGTTTGAAGCGCACCGAGCGTATGTACTGTGGTGTTTGTTCGATGATACGTGTTTGCTATCGAATTATCAATTTCAATACAAGCATGTGCCAAATATGTCAACCAGAAGTAACGTTGGTGATGCATACCTTTTGAAAGAATTCGGCGATTTCTCCTTCTGCTATCTTCTTCTCTGGTCTAACTCCTAACGTGATGATAAATTTTTGTTCACCACCTGTAAACTCTCTTGTTCTCTTCGTTGCACCCATAAAACCCAGGTAACTGACATCCATATCTGCCAAATCATAAATGACGCCACTGCCCGGAAGCTTACTACTCCTGAAGCCAATCTTTTTGAACTCGTCACCCAACGTGAAAGCCAGATCCCCCATGGGGTAACAGGCTAAGAAAGGCTTCGGATTCTGTGAATCGCCAATGGGAGAAGATTTGTGAACATCGATGTAGCGCATTGCAGAATGGATGCTAGATGTAGAAACTACTTCTGGGATATGCTCGTCGTCGTACCAGGCTAGGAACACAGGTTCGGTGAGCAGGTCATTGGCCGAGGGAGAGATGCGGGAGCGGACAAACAGTATGCCTGGGCCATGAATCGTGGAAGTGGACATATTGCGGTATTTGGACGGATATAGGATAGTGAGAATATAGGAATATGAGGGGAAGCGGCCGAGTGTTTAAGATGGCGCGTTGAAAAGTGGCATGAAGTCGTGGAAGATTAGACAGAACAAGTTGGTCTTGAGTGTGAACGAGGTGAAGAAGCTTGGTATACAATGTTATGCCAACGTTGGGAAGGTCAAATGGAAAGAAAACAGTCAGGGACGTGCAGTATCGGAAATGTATTGCCGGACTGTAACTAAGCGTTACCCCGCCTGTCTTCGTTCGCTATCGTCGAATTGGTCCTGCACTGCGGGTCGCGATATCGTGTCTCGACGTTTGCTATGCTGGCAGGTAATATGGTGTTTCAAGGCTGCCGAATTTATTCCTTCACACTCGTTGCCCCCAGCAAGACTCCTATACAGTCAAACGACTGGTCCGTCTGGTCGCTCATGCAGCAGAAAACTGCTCCTATACAATTCTTCCGAAGAGCTTCTGGTATAACTACTCCAAGAATGATTGTTGCGACGTATACGCCACTAACGGCAAAGAACCTATAAGCTTCCAGATGCCTCAGAGCGAATGCGAATCTCGGCAACAGATTACGCCAAGGGCCATGATGAACATGGCTGATCAGATGCAGAGCTGGTTCTGCCCATTCCTGTCCCTTGGCCAAATGTCTTAGATAGCTATCATACCCAGTTGGCCGATGTTGTATTGCGCCACCACCGGTGACGTTGGAGTCGTGGTCGTATCTCACAGCTTCGACTTGTCCGTCAACAGTTTTTCCAGGCCAGACTTCAGCTGCTGACTCATGCCATCTTTTCCAGGCCGGCGGCTTTCACGGTCGACGAAGACGTGGATAAACTCGCCAACGGCCTTGACCTCGTCCTGGCCTTTTTCAAAGACGGCGATTTCGTATGTTACAGAACTCTTGCCAAGCTTGTTGACTCGTAGTGCGAGGTCTACGACGGCGGGAAAGCCGACTGGGGCGAGGTAATCACAATGCGAGTGTACGACGAGGCCGATCTGTGGCGAGGTAGGTGGGTGCAGTGAGCAGTGTTGGATGAGGTACGTGTTGACAACAGAGTCGAACCTAGTTGTCGTTAGGAAATGTAGCGTGGACAGGAGAGAGAGATATATATATACAGATAGTAGTAGACGCTGTTGTTCATGTGATGGTACATGTCATTGTCGCTCCTTCCTGTTGTTAGTACTGAACAGGGCGCAGAGGCAGGAGACGCACCATCTCGTCCTATACTCGAGCTGGAAGCTGTAGTCGCTTCGTCGACGCGATTTCAATGCCTGTAGTGCCATGGCGTAATTCTGGTGCCGTCGACGTCGAGGGAAGACGCGTCTCTCAAGACGGGCAACATGGCGGGCTAGGTTCCCTGCATCCCACGTCTGCCTCGGCTTGCGCAACATTTCTCCCACACGCACCCTCAACCCCTCGACCCCTCGGCCCCGCGATTCTGGCGCCCTCTCCGCGCATCCTCGCATACCTCGCCTCCAAGGGACGCTTGCCTGTGCCCAAGACACGCACAGGCTCACCCTCCATGGCCCTAGTGCCTTCACCCCCGCGCGACAAATACCCGCCCTTGCCCGACGACAAATTTCCCTGGAAAGAGCCTCCAGCCGTCGCAATCACGCCCTGCGACCCCTGGCCACCGCCATACTACCTCGAAGATGGCCTGCGCAAGGTGACGCCCTACCACTTCACATACAACACCTTCTGCAAGGAACGATGGCGGGGAAGGGAAATTCTCGACATCTTCTCTAGCGAGTTCCGCGACCGGCCCGCCGAGTACTACCAGAAAGCCATAGAAGAGGGCCGCGTCGTCCTCAATGGCCAGCCGGTGCCGAGCATCAAAACAATAGTCAAGAACGGCGACGTCATATCCCACACTCTCCACCGCCACGAGCCCCCGTGTACCGCGCAGCCCATCGGTATCGTCCACGAGGATGACAACATGATTGTCATCAACAAGCCTGCGGGCATGCCCGTACATCCTGCTGGTCGATACAACTTCAACTCCATCATCGAGATTATGAGGGCAGATCGTGGCTATGGCTGGAATCCATTGCCGTGCAACCGGCTCGACAGGTTGACTAGTGGCATCATGTTCATCGGCAAGCACAAGCAGGCGGCAGAGGAACTGAGTGCACAGATAAGAGGCAGGACGGTCAAGAAGGAGTACATCACGCGAGTTGTGGGCGAATTTCCAGAAGGAGAGATCCTCTGTGAGAAGCCCATCCTACAGATCAGCCCCAAGCTGGGCCTGAACCGCGTGCGTGCGAACGGCAAGGAGGCAAAGACGGTCTTCAAGAGGCTGGCATACTACCCACCAAAGGATGACGGAAATGCAAATCAAGCGGAACAAGGAGATGCAGGTCCCGATGGTCAGCCGTGGAAGAAGCTCCGCGGCTATTCTATTGTGCGTTGCATGCCAGTAACAGGCCGCACCCACCAACTGCGCGTCCACCTCCAATTCCTCGGCCATCCCATCTCAAACGACCCCATATACGCCAACCAGCGCGTCTTTGGCCCAGCCCTCGGCCGTGGTCAATCGGAAGACGAGGACGATGAAGATATCATGTCCCGCCTCTCACGCATGGGCAAAGAGGAAGTCGCCGATGCCGTCGCATACCACGATGAAATGGTCAATGCCTACAACAAGAAGAAAGCGGAACGCATGACAGGGGAAAAGTGCAAGGTATGCGACACCGATCTGTACAGCGACCCAGGTACACACGAATTGGGTATCTACCTGCATGCCCGGAGATACAGGTGTGAGGAAGGGAAGTGGGACTATGAGACTGGCCTGCCCGACTGGGCGTTGCCACCACCAGGATATGAAGGGCCTACTGAAAGTACAGAAGAGTCTGATCCCTTGGCTGTGGACCTGAAAAAACTGGGTTTGGAGGATGAACCGAATACAGTGGCACGAAAGAACAGCTCCAACAAGTCAAAGCCAGCAGAGCCTTCTTCAGAAGAACCGGCTGCTGCCAGTGCAACCGCTTGAGCGTCGAAGCATTGAATCTTGCTGTATAAAAGAGACTTTTAGAAGATAGAAATTTTGAGATACCCATCAATATATTCTTACTAGCAGTGTACTGGTTCTTATTACCAGTCGTGAGGGTTCGGGTGGTAACAGCCAATCTCATTACTCCCATACGAGCGGATTTCGTCTTCTGTGTCATCGCCTTCTCCCTCTTCCTCGCTCCCTTCAATTTCCCCTTCTTCGTCCTCATCATCACCATCAATACTACTCATTCCGGGTGTGCCTTCTCTCTCTCTCAATTGCGCTTTCAAGCCTTCCAGTATAGAGCTCAGCCTCGCCTTCAGGTCTGGGTTCCAAACCTTACTGATTTGACCTTCCATCTCTTGTATCTTGTTTCTCAGTTCCTCTGCCACTTCATCTTCCTCGCCGTCCTCGTCGTCGTCATCGCTGCTCGAAGCGCCGGGGCCGTCTTCGACCTGAATGCTGCCACCAAACGCTGCAGCAAAATCGCTAGCAATTTTACGATTGGGAATCGCAAAGATGACGTGTTCAATGGCCGGAAATGCCTCGATACCCACCGATGGCGACTTGCTATTCTTCTTTCCGGTGGACGCTGACGATGAAGAACCAACACCCAAAACCTTTGCAAAAGCCTTTGCGATATCTTTCACTGGATTTCCATAAGCTCCAATGCCCCAAGCTCCGAGCACCAACCCCTTCACTTCCTTCTGTTCCGCTATCCTCAGAACACCTCGTATCTTCGCTTCAACAACCTCTCTGTCCTTCTTACTTAGCCTCTTCTCTTCATCTTCTTCCCCCTCTAGTTCGGGGAAGCGCAGCATTCCCGCACTGATAACGTCAACGTACCAGCGCTCGGTGGGAGGCAGCTCACCGGCGTTGTCGCCGAGCGGAAGGGCAGATCGAAACACAAGTACGTCGTGTGTGTAGATGCCACCATATTCTGGAAGGCGGTAGAATGATTCCTTGAGTGAAGGGAGTAGTGTTGTACGCGCGCAAAGGGATTCTTCGGCGGAGGTGGCGCCCGTTAGGAGGCCGCCACCTGGGCGGAGGGGAGAGGCCATGTTTAGGATACATGTATTTGGTTGTTTCTTGGACAGCTGTTTCGGCGCGGAAGTGGCAGATTCGTTGTACAGAGATGGGTGAGAAAGCATATGTGCAGCTGTAAGGCTATCTGTGGCTACGATTCGTATACTGCGTTGTTTGCTCGGCAAAACAGGTGGTGGCGTAACAGCTGTCTTCGAGTTGAGGTATGAAATTTCTTCCTTGAGAGCATCATTCTGTTTCTTGCCTTTTGCTTTTCCCTTACCTTTACCAGCATCCTTCCCCATATCACCACTCTTTTCACCATTCCTGCCATCCGCCTCTTCTTCTTCAAGCCTCGCGCCTTTGGCCTTTCTTCTTCCTTGTCCCTTCCTCTTTACATATTCCGTCTCTTTGCCAACCTCAACACGTGCACTGTCCCTACTCCCTCTCTCCTGCCCCACTGTTCCAATCGGTCCAGGGTTCGTAATAAGCTCACTTCCGTCCGCACCTCTCCTGGCTCTTGTATTTGACGTCAAGATTGCTGGGACAACTTTGTTGACGATATGCCGCGCCTGTTTGGCTCGAATATCCTTGCGGATGGCGGGTGGCGCTAAACCCTGCGATTTTTCGGTGCGACCCATGACTTTGTGGCCACGTACGTATTTCTGATAGTCTGGCTCAAAGAGCGGAAACTCTTGTAATAAGGGATGGAGGAAATGATCAAGTGACTGAAAGAGTATTGTTGACCTCAATGTTACTGGCGAGTACTATGTTGGATGGTTTGGTCGGTTGAGACTATGACGTTTTGGGCGGGTCTGGCACGAGCAACAGCGGTTACCTTTCGCTTGGTGAGTGACTGGCTTCTTGCTTTCTCATCTACCACAATCGTCCATTATGGGTCACGTATCTTGAAATGCCACAAAACACGCTTCGCCTTGTCGCTTTGGTTGCTTCTCAAGCTGAGTGACGATATTGAACCCCGCTCGTATCGCTAGCTTGCAAGCCTTGGCTCAAGACCTTGAGTGGTTTTCGCGTATCTCCACGGTATTTGTGGTGCTGAAGGGACTCATCAGCTCTTTTGTTTGATTTATATGAGCTAACATGACACGTACATGGCCTCCATTAGGTTAAGTCAGAAGCTGTTACCACATTTGCAGCTCACTTAGAGCCATGTGCGCCTTCAATCGTCGAGTAACATCGTAAACAATCGAACGAAAGTCTCGATAGCAATGGTTCTGGGCATCTAGATCCACTTAGGGTCTCTGGAGGGTATACGATCCCCCGTCTCGAGCGTTGAGTAAGATCCAGTTTGAGCCATGGAGACCACAGTCGTTCAAGGATCCACTTGTTCCCATCCACAAAACGTTGTTCTTTGTCGCTCGACAGAGTGGTAGAGCTCAAAAGTTTGTGGATTCAGAATAATGAGGGTACAGCACTGATCTCTCTTGTTCCTTCCGAGGGAGCATCGCAACTTCGCAGTACGTATTAAGTGGGGACGGCGCAGAATGGCACTGGTAATGGAGCACAATGGCGTTGGTCTGGTACCACTTCCCGACCCCTAACAGTTTCCCCTGCCTCTCCTTCCAAACATATAAAACTATGCTACATCTCTCTTCTTTCAACATCCTTCATCGCCCACGCTAGTTCAACACCGATACATCTCGTATCGAGACAAGACGAGATGTTGTTCCTTTATATTTTCATCGAACTTGCGATGGTGTTTTCACACCTCGCAGCCTTTGGCTCAGCCCTTGCCCCGAGTCGCTCTCCTGTCCGGTCGTTTTGCGACTCTCTTCCCCTGGGACATGGTACCCCAATCTTGCCTGACACCCCAGAAGCTTTTCAAGCCTATGCTCCTTTCGCTGGCGCTGCATTGTCCGCCACTACGCCTGCTGGTTACATTCAATCGTACGCCAACCTGCTCACTACGTACGACACGGCATCACAGTTCGTTCATTACATATCGATGGACGAGTACAACGTCGAACAGTGTAAGTAGCACTTTGGGTCGAAGCTCATCATATCGACAAGCAGTATCTCCCTTGAACGGTCTTACTAACTGTCTTTAGGTGCTCATGCTTGCAATAGCGATGACAACTGCAATGCCTTCACCATCTTCTTCGAGCGTCAGCCTGTCGTTTCGCCTGCACCCGAACTGTGCCCAAATCCCCCTTCTACAACCATCATCAGTAAGTGTCCATGTACGAAGGTAATGTGAAACATGCACTGATGCTGTCTTCCCTTTCTTTGTAGAGTGTGATTTGTGGTCCAGCACCATCCTGCCCGACATCGCCATCAACCACGGGCAGCTCCGTGAGCAGTTCCACGTGGTTATGGCCGGCTCTAACGCCTATGTCAAGGACATCAACGGCACCACACCCTCGGTCTCTGATGACTACACAATCGAGAAGTATGACATGGGCGCTGCTATCGAAGCACCCCTCGACTGCAACGGTGAGGACACTTATATGGGACTGAAACACTGGTCCGATGGTCACTTCGACGCTCAAAGATGCATGGATGTATGCAAGGAGACCCACGATGCTTCGGGCCGCCAATGCCGCTTCGCCAATACGTACATGCAGCGTCGAAATAATGTCCCTACCGACCAGCACTGTGACTTGTTCTCCAAATATTGGCCAACTCAGTAAGCTAGTTCTGATCATACTAAACACATTGATTCCTCTAATGGCACTGCAGGTACGCTACCAACATTGGTCAGCGACGTGGTAGCTCCAACATCTCCATCTCCTCAACTGATTCCTACGGGTGAGCTTTCCAGCCTTCAAGCCCATTACTTTGCACGTTCAGCGATACTAAATCGCCAACAATAGTATCCGCGACATCACTGATGACTTCTCTGCCTGTCTTCCCGGTAATGACTCCGCTTCTGTCCCCTCCAGCACCCTCGGCGATCTGGAAGGCCAAAAAGCGACCACTTTGACGACCCGTACACGGCCTCAAGTCGTCTGGGCTACGCATCCTTCCTCCAAGTCCTTTACTTACCCTGTCATCGCCCCCGAGTCATTCAGCGACTGGGACCCCGTCAAGGAGACTACCACATACACCACTCCTGCCGCGTCTGCCTTCTCTTCTGATTTCACTTCCGCTGTTGTAGCTCCAGAGACCTTCTCAGACTGGGATCTCGTCCTTGAAACGGGTACTTACGTGAAGCGTCAGCTCGTTATTCCCACCGATGTCCCTGTAGTCACAGATGTACCGGATCTCTTAGAGGTGTTTTCTGATATCGCTACGAGACAATAGTAGGATCATCCATTGCAAGCACCACGGACGTTGTTGCAGAAAAAAAAACCTGTAGTTGTTTAATTCTGTACTACAGTGTAGAGTTCAATTAATTCATTTCGTAACTATCGACAAGAGTGAAAAGAAAGATGATTCCAGAGATATTATCCAAGTGTAATAATCTTCAATACTGACAGAGAGGCCCTTGAAAATCTTGATCATCTTGTCCCGTTTGAAGTGGAATTTCTATCAGTGTATCAAGTACCATTTTCCCTTCCTTCATCACTCCGCTCATCTGTCAGCCTACTAATCTGACTAATCGTGCTCATACGACCAAGCAGCTCTGGTCTCTCCTCGTCTCTCGCATTCCCAGCTGTTAATGCACTCTTATCGCGACTCGTCCAGAAAAGCCAGCTTTGACCGTTGTACACGGCGAGAGGGTTACGAGAACGCTGGGCTGCCTCGTCATCTGCTGCAGCAGTCGGTGGTTCCTTGAGAGGGGACGAGGCTTCAAAGTATGAAGTGCTTCGTAGAGATGTGGTAGTACGGTCTATAGATACGGATGTTTTTGGTGTATCAGTAGGCTTGGTGTCGAAGGTGTCGTTGGTTTTGGTAGGCTGAAGGACAGGAGACTCGTGTGGTGTTGAGTGAAAGCTCATGGCGGCTAGCGACTTTCGGGGTGAGGCGCTGCGACGAGGAAGGGAGTTAGTCGAGTCTAGACTACCGTGTGATAT